AGCGACAGTGCTTCACCAGAACAGCTTGTCGTAGCGTACAAATTGGCGGGTTGTGTTATGACATGGCCTTTTGCTGCTCTTTCCTGGGATGAATTGTAGTTATTTGTTTTTACATTTAGATTCGATTTAATGAAAAATTATTATTATTGTTTTTTGACTCTTCTTAAATGTTCTCATTAATGTCATATAAATAAATAAAATGTACAAATGGTATAATGTAACTAATGTTCAGATATTAATAAAAGTTTAAGATATTCTTAAGAAAATATTAAGAAATAAAATAAAAGTAGTTGAAATGTGTTTATATTCAAAGAAATATATACATGTACCCCATTACTCCTTTTATTTGTTAGACCTATTTGTAGACTTTTTTTTTTCCTTTGCAATGTGGGTTTGAAGCTATACTCTGTATTCTTATCTACTTGTTTTTGTTATTTGAATTGTGTTGGAGGGTGCTAAAGATTCGAACTCTAGCTAGAGATGAAGAAAACAAAGATAAGAATGGCAAAACAAAGACATATATTTTCTGACTGCTGCACATGCAGAGGTGAGAACATAATAAAAGACAAATGGCGTTAAATTCTCTTGCAAATGTTATCTAAGTACCTATTATTATGATTACATTTATCCTCACCTTCTTTTCTAGGAGTTTAATTTTTATATATTATTAATATGAAATATTTATATTTTAATTAATTAAAATTTCCCTATTCAAATAAAAAAAACATGCTTTTAGGCATTAGTATATAATTCTTATTATTCCAATCTCTCTGAGGAAACTATTTATAAAAGGGACAATTTTCGTTTATCACCCTAAAATATAATGTTTCTACAATTTATGTTTGATTTTAATAGTTTTAGATATTTTATAGAAACATATATATAAAAAAGTATTGGTAAAGCTTTCAGTATTTCATAATGATAAAAATGAATATTAGTTTTTTAGAAAACTAGTTTAAGACCTTTATTCATTATCCAGTTAACCCCTTTTAATAGTGACTCTAAAAACCTTGGACCAAAATCCAAACCTTACTTAAAGAATATAAATATCTATTTTTTATAGATAATTAATTATTACGAAAGTTTAAAAAACTAGGAATAAAAGCAATTTACATAATTTGTATTTTATTGTATTTATGTTTGCTGAAATTATGGTAATTATAACATAAGATACATCTTACACGACAGTTGAGAGAGAAACAGTAAACATTGAGAGAGAAAACTAACCGATCATACAGCCGCCGAAGAAGACGGCCTGAACCAGCCCGACCTTAAACTTACCCGCGCAAAACAACCCCCACTCCACAACGGTTGAGTCCCCCATCCACTCCCACGAACCCGGTTCGAACCCGCACACGCTTTTGGCGCTCGGGTCGCATTCCCAATCGGCCGCGCCGTCAAGGCACCGCCACTCTGGTTCGCGATCGGCGAAAATCATGACCATCGTATGGAAGGCTTCCAAGGCCCACGCCAGACTGGTGAGCACGAAGTGCCTCAGTTGCCATCGCCCGAACTCGCCGCAATACTTCTGCAGTATCTCGTCGATGCAGAGTTTCTCCAATGAAGCTCCGGTGGCTTTCTCCGCCGCCCAAATGAAAGGCGAGTTGGACGTATCGGCGCCTTCTTCTTTGGATTCAGTGG